TCTATCTTCCACTTTTCATGGCCAGCTTCTTCGACAATCCGGGCCAGGTTGCGATTGGTAGGATGGCCAGCTGCCTTGTGAAATTTTGCCACCTGGGCCTCCCATTTCCTGTAGGCCTGCTCGTCAACTCCTTCCGGTAGTTGATCTACCTCTGCTGTCAGTAGGGATAGAGATTGTCGTGGTTGATGAGCCCATAGATGAAGAGGCGGAAAGCCAAGTTGTCGTAGGCACTTGCGTTGGGATTCGTCCAGTTGTGTTGCCAGTCGTGTAGTGTAAGCTGAAATGGCTATCCTGGTTCCCGTCCAAGTCTGAGAGGCGTGCCAGCACCTCGGATCAAAGGATATGACCTTGTGTCTCGTAGGCTCCACTCGTCCAGGTAGTACTCGCCCATCTGGAATCCGTCGTCGCACCACTGTACTCGTAGTAGAGGTCGTTCCGGACAGCCATAGACCACCTCCTTCGTAGGGTCCGACACAAACCAGATGGTTGTCTGAGTTCTTGTCGTTGTGGTGGTCCCTGTGTGGAAAGACAGACCGATTGACTGATATCATCACACTTGACCAGGATTGCTCCGGGAGGTGATGCCGAAGAAAGGCATTGACATACTTGAGTAGGGTGATATACCTGAAGGACAGATTGCAGATCCCCTTCATGTGTCCATGGGAGTATGCTCCGAACGTGAAGACACGTCCACCACCGTCACGCCATCTTGTATGCGGAACTGTAGACCTCGGTGCATCGGAGCATTGTTTCATCAGGATCTCCTCAAGCGTGTCAAACGAGAAGTTCTTGTGGACTAGATGGTAGTTGATCAAGTCTACTAAAGACGTACCTCCTGGGACACACGATTCGCTGGTAGTCGAGGTCAATCCTTGAAGATCACCTCCTGGTGCACACGATTCACTGGTAGTCGATGTCAATCCTTGAAGATCACCCTCTGGTATAAACTCGCTGTCCTCCAGTCCAGCTTCCAATGATTCCAACTCTCCATTGGACCATGTGTCTTCCCGAAGACTGGGAAGATCTTGCCGTAGTTGTAGTAGTTGGTGATGTCGCCTAGGAGCCATCTGATCACACCAGTGCCTCACAATGGACTGAACCATCCTCCAAGGGTAATACGAAGAGGACGCTGTCTCGAGATCCTCTTGGACACTGTGTCGTCCATGGCATCCAGGGCAAACTTTGGCACGAAAGCTTTTGTGAAAGCATTCATCTGTAGTTCTCACCATCCATTGTTTCTTCACGAAGAGACCGTCCTGGGGATTCTTCATCCCATAATTGCATCCATCCAGGCGACAGGGTAGCCAGGGGACACCGTGCTCCTCCAGGAAGGCTGCCAAGTCCATCATGGGAGTCTGTTTCCATCCCTGACACTGGGACGGCCACTCAAAGTAGATCTGCACCGTGGGATCTTCCAGCAAGGTTTCCTTGACAAAAGCATTCATCCACCATAACATACGGCGATCACGTCGTTGGTAGCTTGACAATCGCTCTCGGTCCTTGGGACTGTTGTAGTTCATGTTGTTCCAGGTACTCCACTTAGAGCAGGGCAAGGAGAACCATATGCGTGAGGGACGACGCTGCTGACGTAGTTCACGTAGATGTTGCCAAGTGGCCTCCTTGTTCAAGTCATAGCCAGATGGCAGATTGATAGTACGCGGCTGAAGGCCGTGTTCAAGGGCCACAGTGCTCATCCACGAATGAGGTGCACAGGAAACCTCCCATAGTCCATCACGTCCTTCAAGGTGCAGATGAAGTAGTAGCCGAGAGGTCATCGCCATCATCAAAGTCACAGTGCTCATGATCTTCTTTCCCATATAAACAGGAAGAGCATTCTCCTTGGAGGTCCTTTTGGTCATTGGCGAGGATTCTTGTCTTGCCAATGTACTCGTAGAAGGCGTCCCATCACCGCGATCTTCCTTAGAGCTCGGAGGCGCGAAAGCTGTAGGTGATGAGGTCATTGCTGGTGATCCAGCGCCGCGTAAGCCTCCTCGAGAGTCAGCTCGCGAACCGGTTGGTTGGTCATCGCCCAACTGCCATGAGACTCCGGGCTGTCGGGGCTCGCGGTGGAGTAGCCGGCCGTCGTTGTGACACTTGTAGGATTGATCGTCGCCGGAGTTGCATTGGGCGTGGTCGCCAAATGCTCGTTGATCATCACATTCAAGGTTTCCTCTGCATCGATCTTGGCCTGCGTTGCATGAACCAGACTGGCATGGGGG